GCGCATTAACGACCCACAGCACCACACCAAGAACTTGTAAACAAACAAGACTTCCCCTTTCCTCAATTATGGAAACTTGAGATTTATAGTAGGTGATGTATGCCCTTTGTGTTGTTGTTAAGTCGGTTCGGACGCATAGCAACCCTGTCTAGGGTTTCTGAGGGGCGGCTGGTAAGTTCGAACCTGACCTTGCAGCTCAAACCGATCTCGAGGTCGAGTACTTTTCCTACAGCACCACACCAGGACAAGATGACCAAGAGGAGTCTACTGTTCTTAAGTAACCTACAGGCAGGGAAGACACAAACAGATCACTTAAATATAATGTGGGAAATCTTTGTATTACATGTATATGCTCAGGTATACAGAAGGGCTCATATCTCAACCTAAATGGTTTTCAGAATTTGCTAGGGTTGCCTCCTGAGTTAGAGGCATACACAGAGTGTTGAAGGTGCATTAAGAATGAACTAGATGAAAGATAGTCAAGGAAAATGAATGGATAAAAGCATAGATGGGGAATAGTCTACTTTGGCATGTGTATTGGAATGACCTGGCAGGAATGAGTTTCATGAGGTTTTATGATCCACTGAGTTAATTTTATGTATGGTATGAATGATAGGTTAAGGTTTGTCATTTTCTGTATGAATGTCTGATTTTTGCAGCACCCTTTGTGGAAAAGACTATTCTTTTTACATTGAATTGCCTTTGCACTTTTGTCAAAAATCAATTGACCATATTTGTATAGGTCTATTTTTGGACTCTGTCTATTTTTGGACTCTGTTCTGTTCCATTGATTTATATGTATATGTCTAGTTACTAGTGCTGCCATAACAGAATTACAAGTGAGTGGCTTTAAAGAGTGGAAGTTTATATTCTTGCAGTTCTGGAAACTTACCTCCAAACAGAGGTCTTAGAGCAGGGTTGGGGAACCTTTTTTCAGCCAAAATTTTTAACACCATATGTGGGCCATACAAAATTATCAACTTGAAAATTAGCCTGCTATATTTGGTCAAACATTTAATTAACCATGATGTAAGTTATGGAATGACTGGAACTGTGGTTGCCTTGGCAGGGCCAGACCAAATGATTTCGCAGGCCTCATGTGGCCAGTGGACTAGACGTTCCTGTCCTCAATCTTAAAGGAATCAATTTCGTTTTTGAGCCTTTCTCCTGGTTTTGGTGTTTGCCTGTGATTGTTGGAGGTCCTTTGTTGATAGACAGCCCTCACATGTTATGTGTTACTGTGTGTGTGTGTTCTGGCCTTATAATTCGGAAGTGACATATCACTTATGAATGATATCACATTTTATATTACATTCCAAATTTTATCAATTATATCATATACTATGCTGGTGTGGTTGATATTACACTAGATTTTATTATGGGAGGTATGGAAAGTAATTGCCTCACATTACATTACAGAAGGTAATCTTCTCTACCTAAGGCCAGTTCATTTAATCACATTTCCATGACACCTACTATACTGACTAATGGTTGGGAAAACCACTGGGAAGTTGACAGGTTAAAATGAGCTTTCATAGTATCCTTTTACATATATCTCGCTGTCTTTATTATTATAGCTTTGTAATAAGTCGTGAAAATCAGGTAGTGTGAGTCCTCCAACTTTAATCTTTTTCATAATTGCTTTGATTATTCTTATTCATTTGTCTTCCCACATACATTTTAGAATCCACTTGTTTTTAGCCACAAATTCAATCATTTTAACAGATAAAGGACTATTAAGGTTTCCAATAACCTCATATGGATGCGAAAGCTGGACAGTGAATAAGGAAGATCGTAGAAAAATTGATGCCTTTGAGTTGTGGTGTTGGAGGAGAATACTGAAAGTGCCATGGACTGCCAAAAGAACCAATAGATCTGTTTTGGAAGAAGTGCAACCAGAGTGCTCCTTGGAGGCCAAGATGGCTAGGCTTCGTCTCTCATACTTTGGACATATTGTCAGGAGGGAACAGTCCCTGGAGAAGGATGTCATGCTGGGTAAGGTGGAGGGTCAGAGAAAAAGAGGAAGGACCCCCAACGAGATGGATCGGCCAGGTGACATCATTGATGGCATCAGGTGTGGCGGCGGTAGTGAGGTTGGCCCAGGATCGGACAATTTTTCGTTCTGCTGTGCATGGGGTCGCTATGAGTTGGTTCCGACTGTATGGCACCTGACAACAACAACAACAAGGTTACTTATTTTTCATGGTTGAACTTGAGTAGTTTGGGTAGTTTTAGGTTTGTTGTTGGTGAAATAACCCTTTTGTTATTATGTAATATCTTCCCTTACTGCTGATAATTTTCTTTGCTCTGAAGTCTATTTTGTCTGCTATTAGTATGGAGTCCTGGTATGGTGCTGAAGAATAAGCCACTAGACCACAAGGTCAGTTTGAACTAAAAGGTAGTGGTTCAAATGCATCAGTTGCTCTTTGGAAGCCCTGTATGAGTTGGAACCAACTCAATGGCACTTAACAAGTGTGGTTAACTCTAGTTTTCTTTTGATTGTTATTTTCCCAGTATATCTTATTTTTCCATCCTTTTACTTACAACCTTTCTTATATATCACACTATTTAAAGTATATATTTTTAGACAGCATATAGCTGATTCTAGTTTTATTATTATTATTCAATCTGGCCATCTGGATAGTGTAAGTGGTGTGCACTTGTCTACAAACTTGAAAGGTTGCTGGCTCCACCCCAAGCAAAATTGGATTTTATAGTATCACGTATTTTACGTCAACATACACTAGCCTCCCCAGATAGTGTTACAATTTCTCCTTTTAGTATTCATATTTGTTTTAATGAAATTAAGAAGAAAAAAGTATTTCTAATTTGTTACTCTTTTCTGTTCCTAAATTTCCAATTTTCACCTGAAGAACTTTATCACTTCTTCTAGGACATGTGTTTTGAAAAATTCTCTTAGCTCTCGGTCATCTTAGAATATCTTTCTTTTATTTTCTAAAGGATATTTTCTCTGAATATAGAATTCTGAATGGACAGTTCTTTTCTTTCAAAATTTAAAAATGTTGTTCCACTGCCCTCTAGCCTTCATGGTTTAGAATGAGAAAACCAGAGTAATTTGAAGGACTGTTACCTCATACGGAATATGTCTTTTTCTGTTTGCTTTCCTTTTTAAAATTTTTGGTTTTCATCAGTTTGATTATGATGCATCTGGATGGTTATCTATTTTTCCCTCCTGTTTGAGGTTTGCCAAGCCTCGTGGATATGTAAATTTATGTCTTTCACCAAATTGAGGAAGCATTAAGCCATTGTTTCATTATAGAAAGGGAGTCCTGGTGTGGTGCTGTAAGACAAAGCACTGGAC